CGAGGCCCTCCCGGGGGGCCGCCGCCTCCCGCTGCCCCCCTCGCGTCGCTGGCCGGGCCCGGTGCGGGGGCTTTCCTCGCAGTGCTGCCGGGCGAAGGCCGAGGTCGCTGCTCCTCCGGCCCGAGCCCTTCGCTGCCTGGCCGGGGAAGCCAGGGCACCTCAGGCGGCTGTTGGTTTCTGGACGTGACAGAAGAAGCAGCTGTCGGCGTCCGGTTTTAGGACTTGAAACTCTCTGCTCGGGTTCTGCTCGCTTATGAGGAAACGACCCTGTGCGAGGCATTAACGTACCGCAGGCTGCAGCCTCGCTGCCCTGTGATGCCCGTGCCGTTGCCGTTATGATTTGGCAGCAAATTTTTCTGTGGTGGTAGGGTTCCTATGTGCACACGCATTTTTATTTCAAAACAGCAGGCCGGTTTGCTGGACTTTCTGAGGGTGTGCCTGATAGGAAAAACAACGCTTATCTGTGTTGTGCAACTGAAATGCAGATTTAGCCTTGTAGATGAACTCATCGTTCTTATAAACGAACTTTGGGATTATTTTTGTCACTCTTTTAGAATACCCGTAGTCCAAATGATCTTACTTTTCCGGTAATCGAGTATTCACTCTCTGTGCTTCAACTGTATTAGTGTAATTTGTAGTATTTAAACTTTTGGATTTTTGGTCTCGGGCATCATATGGAGGTTGATATTTTTAAGCAGATGTTTTTGTTCGTGTTTTCTTGTTTGTGTCTTAACTAAAACCAGCAGTTGCCAAACGCATACAAGTTCGGTGTGGTTGGCTCTTGCAATGCACTACTTAACAAGCTCTTATCAAGGGACTAAAATACAAAGTCGTATGCAGAAACTTTACGAAAATAATTCTTTTTTATTACATCTGAGTTTTCTGTCAGGAGCCCCTGACTTCTGGAGGATTACTGTAATGCCAGTAAAATAGAAGCGAAATAAAACCTACAGTTCCTTCTAGTGTATGCAAAGCTACTGGCAATATCTGTTCTTTTTTTTAAATGGCAATTCAGTGTTCTCATCGAGCCATGCTGTATGTAAACAGTGTGAGGCCCTGGCTGGGATGTTTCAGAGTAACTGTAGCATACAGTGAAACTTAGATGGGTATTTTTAGTCTTATTAACATACAACGCTGTATCTTATGGAAACTGTTGAATGCCATGTGTTTCTATATGCTTGTTCATAGAACTTGTGTTCAATTTTGTTAGCCCTGTGGACTTCTAAATTCTCCTTTAGAGAAACTGATGGGGGAAGAGGAGGGAACACTGAAGATGTAGTGTAATACTTCTGAAGAGGGTTACATGGTGCTGTTATATACCATGAAAGAACTGGACTGTGGCCTGAGAGGTGCCTCTCAATCCGCAAGAACTGTTTTGGGTCTCAGGACTGTTTTTTTGCTCAGTGTTAAGCACTGTGACGCTGCATGTCCAGAAATTCTTGCAATATTAGTGAATTTCCAGATGTTGATGTTTACTAGAAACTTCATTTTTATAATGGTTTTAAGGGCTTTTCATGCATATTTACTGGAGGTCAGTCTTTGTTCGGATAGGCCTTTCTCCCTCTTGTAGTGGAAGGCCGTCTGTCCTTGTGGGAAGGACTGCACGACAGACCTGTTGTAGCCTGGCAGTGCGTCTCATGAGTACCAAACTCACAGCAAATGCCCAGGTTGCGTAGAGGGGCCATGACCAACCAGCCACCCTCCTGGGAACATTAGACTTTACTACTTGTCCTGAAAACGATGGACTTTGCTAGCTGTCCAGTGCTTGTATAGTAAGTCTTGTGCTTCTGTGAGAGCTGCACAACTGGATTGTGCGTGGGCCATGAGGGATTGTGAGAAAGATAATAGCAGAAAGTGGGCTGCTGGCTTATATAACCGTGCTCTGAAGCCTTCTCTGTCGGTGCGCCCAAATCCTGCCTGGCGTCTGCTCTGGGGGTGGGGTGCAAGCTGAATTGGGTGTCCTAGTGGGCTGCATGCAGGTGGAGCGTTGCCGTTCTAAAATATGCTGTTTTGCTGCTCCCTGAAATGTGATTTTTTTTTTTAATCTCATTTCTTCTTGTGGTGGACCTTCTAATGGCATATGGCAATAGTGTTTGCTTCCTTTATGTTCCTGTGTTATCCAGAGTAATGGCTCTTCTGACAGGGGCAATTTTACTTCTTTTTAAGAAGTATGTATCCATGTAAAGTCATCTGAAAATCGAAAAGAATGGCCAGCTGTAAAAATAGCCTTGAATAAAGAGGGGTGACCTATTGTTCTTGGCGTTCCCAACTCCAAAGCAGCTCACAAGCACGTACACCAGAAGACAGTAATACAGCTTGGGTAATACTTTGATTTGCCTTTCTTGGAACCTGTTTCAAGTTCTAGAAAAAAAGGTTGAGTCTTAAGCTTTAAAAAAAACCAAAACCAACAACAAAACCCCTAAATTTTACTGTACCTGCAGAAATAGAGAATAAGTTTCTATTAACTGTAAAGGAAACTTTAATTATTCTGGCTATTGCAAACACTTTTAAAAAAGGAGACCTTGGATCTTTGTAGAGGGAGAAACCTTTGAATGGCCTAATAATTCTGGGTGTATTTTAAGAACGATGCTAAAACCAAAGAGTCTTTACATAGTAAAGAGCTTGAACAGATGTCTGTTGTATATGAGTTATGGGAGTTGTAGGCCTTATGGACAGAGCGCATGACTGCATTATGCTCATGGTTACGGCTTCTGAGTCAGCTAGCAGCAGTGGTTTCTCACATTTGTAGACTAAATGTCTTCCTTTTGTTTGTAGATATGGCTCGTGGACAGCAGAAGATTCAGTCGCAGCAGAAAAATGCCAAAAAGCAAGCTGAGCAAAAAAAGAAACAAGGACATGATCAGAAGGCTGCAGCCAAGGCTGCCTTGATATATACCTGCACCGTCTGTAGGGTAAGAGGAATAGAAGACAAAATATTTTTGTAGGCAGGTCTGTCTTTCAGCCTAGAGCAGAATTTTTAGAAGATCATTTAGTGGAAACTGAAATACTTCTTAAGGGGCTGTCTAGCTTGTTGCTATAAGCATTTGCATCTGTTATGTGACTTGCTTACAGATTACTCAGGTGTACCGATCATTGAGATATGAGAAAATCTGATGAACGGATCTGGTTTGGGTAGTTACCTTGCCTGTTACAGGGGTCTGCATGTGCTGTTAGTATGACGTATAAAATGTAAAAAGTGTGAGGTGATGGTTGGACTTGATGATCTTGAAGGTCTTTTCCAACCTAAATGATTCTGTGAGATCACTTCCTGTTTAATCTCCAAATGGAAACATCTTTTCTTTGTGATGGAATCGGCCCACCTTAGAATCACTGGTTATCAATGTTAATGTAGAGAGGAAAAGTAGTGGTGCCAAAAGCATTAGTGTGAATTTGATATGCAGTAACTTCTACTAGAATAAATTACTTGACAGGAGAACAGAAATGTGAGTACTAATCAGATAATACTTTCCTTCTGGCTGGTTTTCCTGAATGTGCTTGTTTTGGAGCTGAAGGATCAACTTGCCATTTTCACTTAAATGGTCAGTCCCAGAATAGATTTGTCACTTTGAATGTCTTAAATAAGATTCCAAATTAAGGGCTGCTCGCTTAAGTACTTGTAAGTAGCTCCTCTTGTGAAATCAGGATGTAGCAGCAATCACTTTGGGGAGTTGATGCCTGCAACTGTGTTGTAGCAATGGTCTGAGATAGACTGATTCTCTACTTGGCACAAGCTATGCCACATAACTCTTTGGCCTATTGATAAACAAAAGAAATAGCTTTAATAAAGATTTGATTCTGAAAAGGATAAACGTTTATCTTTTAGGTGTTGAAAAAGAAAATGGTAAAGAGGTAGGTTTTCCACTGAACCAGCATGTGAAGTGTAAAATCTGGAGGGAGTTTTCTAGTGAGAATAATACCATTGATGAACATGCCAAAACAGTGTGATACTAGTGCTTAAAAGCACCTCCCTGTAAATCTGAGGTTAAATATTCCCTCTTAATCTGCAGGTAAATTAATGGTGCTTCTGTCACCAGAGCAGTGTCATTGAGGAGACAGTCTGCTTCAGGAAAAAGAAAATAAAACAGGGGGGAACAGGTTTTGTAGTATTATTTAACTCTTGTACTGTGCATAAAGTTAAATGTCTCTCTTTAATCAGACACAAATGCCGGATCCCAAGACCTTCAAACAGCACTTTGAAAGCAAGCATCCTAAGACTCCACTTCCTCCAGAATTGGCTGATGTTCAGGCGTAAAGTTGTCTACAGGTCATTACCTTAATTTTTCAATGATTGTCTGAGGTGTATTATGAATCGGGTTTTTTTTACCACTACCAACTGGGACCTAAAAACTTGCTTCATTTCCTTTAATATGAAAATTAACTATAGGTTAAAGTTATACCCCTGAATTGTTACACAGGAGAAGCAAGCTAATACTTGCATAGGTGAAATGGCTGTTGCATTTCACTGTGTGTGGAGGTTGTTTTAAAAGGGATTAATGTTATTTTAAATGGCCATCCTTAGAGTTGTAGGAATACTTTATTATTTAGTTCTTGCTTTGAAATGTGAGGTTTGCTTTGAACAAATTACATACAATAAATACAATCCGTCTGTTGCTACAAAACATGTAATGGAAATAGTTGTTTAGTGTATTTCCAACAATTGAGCCTTTTTGTTCCTGAAGCTATGCAAGTGAATGCAGATTTTTCTGCATTCAAATATAAAACTTAACCTCTGTGTTAACTTCAGACGAGATTTCCCAACAGCCAGTTGTTAGGCTGTAACTGAAAGTGGTTATAATAAAAGGCTGAAATGAGGTAAAAAGCAGTATTATGGCATTTCATTCACGCAAAGGTAAACAACATTGTGTAACGGTTCAGCTTAACTGAGTTATTCTTGTTTTTTATAGGTGAAATCATGGCACCTATTGACTCTTCTACTGTCAGACCTTACATAACAAACCTGCAGCTGCTTTTCTAAAACTGTTGATCAGCAAAAATGAAGGGGCTACAGAAACATTCATATTTTTATGCTGTTCCCTCTTGGGCTTCATGCAAAGACAATTCTGTGTAAATGTACAGTTGTGCCCTATTTGGAAATCCTGAAAAATCAGTCCATACTTGTTATAAAAAATTTTTTACAATTGTAATTATATTGATGTTCATATTGTGTAAAATAACTCATTTAATAAAGTAGTACTTTGATTTTACAATATCACAGATTAAATCCTTGTAGAAGTTCTGTTTCAACTTTCTGCATTATCTGCCTTATAAAAAAGACAAAGTGGAATTTTCCCCATCCTGCCAAAACATGAGCAGTATCATTCCACTGAAAGTAATGTACATTACAGTAAATTAATCTTAAGTGAAAAGGGAAGCTGCTCAGATTTACTGTTCAGTGTGCTGCCCGCTTGAGCCCAGTCACTAGTGGTCAGGTTGTTGGCTCAGGGTGCAGCAGACTTCCTAGAAGCTGCATGAGAATCGTGAGACTTCCTTCTACATTTTTGTCCTACGTATTGGAGTCTAATACTGCAAGCCATTTCAAATGGGATTTCTTTACTGTGAGGAATCATGTTCCTTGAAGTCATGCACTGGAGAGACCCTGGTTATGCTTGTTGTCCTTTATATTCAGTAGATGACTGAGGAAGCTGAGAGGTGGCAGGATTGAATGCCTTCGGGTATGCTGGCTTCAAAAATGCTCGCAAATATTAGGTTAAAGCAACTCTGCTCTTAGTTGAAAAATTGTTTTGAAAAGATTTATAATGATATTTTGAGCAGTCAACCACGCATGTTCCTCCTCAAATGTGTCTGGTTATTTCAGTAGCATATTTCAAGAAATATGCAAAATAGCTAGCCATTAATAACCTTTCTTCACAACCAGCTTAAAATAAGCCTGTTGGAAAAGAGCCAAAGTAACTAAAATAATATGGCTACTTTAAGAAATCAGATGTGATTAAAGTTGCGTTGATAACAAAAAGCTGGATAATAACACTCTGGCCAAGAACATTTGAGCAGCTAAACATAATTACCCTTAAAGCGTTCTGGGCTCAGTTCTAATCCCAGATGTACAGCACAGAAGTAGCAGGTAAACATCTGAATTGTGCTAGAAGGTCTGCTATACAAACTCCAATCTTTGGCATTTGGAGGGGGCTTATTTAAGAGCTTTAGTTTTGACCTCGCAGTAAGAAGCAATACTAGAATTGCTGTGATTTACTGAGGTTACAATGGATGTAAAAATTCTGGCAGTCCAAGTAACCCTTGCTATGCAGCAGGACTGTACCTCTGACCTTCAAATGGCTTCCTAAAATCTAGGACCATAGTCTCAAAGACTCATTCACTTAAAAGAATGCACTTGGTATTTTATTATATAAAGTCAAAGCCTTTGTCTTCGTCCACTCGTTTGCTCTTTATTGAACTACTTCTGTGAGACTAGCTTCCTGTCCTCTTTGCTGTGACAGTATCTCTGTAAATACTTACTTTGGCATAAAGTTTCTCTGTATTATAGTCACTTCAGGATAACCTGTATACCACTTAACTTTTATAGATAATGTTGTTCTCTGAGAGTGATCCACTACTGCACTTGTACACCTGACATCAGAATGTAATGCTTCATTTATTTTTCTTTAATGTTATCGATACATACATCCTGACAAACTGGCTCCCACAAGGCAAGAAATCTGCTCTCGACTTTTGTGCTGTATGGGGGGGAGGTGCTTAAATGTTCTGATGCTGTAGTTTGTCTAAAAATACGCTGAGTGCAAATGGATAAAGATGTTTCTTGCACTGATTGGTATTTGGTAATCTGGTTTTACTTTGGAAAATGTTCTGGGATGTATCCCTATAGCTTGGTCCTGAGGTGAAGTATATGTTCTATTCCTTCAATTCAGATTGTGTAGCATTAAATAAAAAGATTTTGTTTCATAAACAATCTCTCTTAATGAGCACTGAAGAGCTGGAAAGCTGCATCACTAGTGGGATGGTTAACTTCAGTTAGAATTGTATTTTCAAAACTATGATGCTCAAGTTGAAAATACCTTATTAAATGATGGGGGGGTTATGTATTAGAAGGCAAGGGTGATCCTCAGTTCAGTAAGATCCCTAGCTGCAGTAGCTGCAATCTCAATTACAAAAATAAATGAAAGCTGTGACTGAATTGTTACAAAGGCTTTGTAAGTATAGGGGGAATGCTATACTAAATGTGGGAATTGTCCTTATTTAGAATATCTGCAATACTCCTACCTAAAAAGTCAGAGGAAGGACTAGGAGTTCTCCATCATCTCTTCCTGATCTGAAGGATAGCACGCTGTTACCTGGCTAAAGACACAGTTGCGCATTGTAATGTGTCTGATTAAAGAGAATTAAAAAAATAAAATATAAAATGTCCTATTTCCTGCCTGCTTTTAAAAACAAGTATTACTGCACTTATAAAATTAATATCCTGACTGTGGACAGTCCTGGAACTTGAAGCTGTCTAACTTTACAAGAAAGTAAAATAGGCGTGGAAAGTTTCCCATGTTCCCTTGAGAAAGATTCATCCTTGTGCAGGGACAGCATTTAGGTAAAGGGTTTTTATGTTGTTGGAATGGGCATCGGCTGTCATGGATACTTGTGGAGCAACTTTAAAGAGTGATTGTGAATTTTCAGAAGCCCACATCTCTTCTGGGAATCTCTTTTAAGTGGCACCTGAAATTGCATTTTAAGCAGGGCTTAAAATGTTCTGAAAAATGTCTCATTTTAGATCCCAGAGTAAAAGTTAGCATGTGTGATTGCGATGAGGCCATCTTGGGGACTACTGAGTAATCAAGAACAGTTTTGCAATTTGTTACTCAGGCTTACTTAGGCTAGTTTCTGTGCCTCTACTTTACCTATCTCTAAGGGTTTCTTGATAACAAAAAGCTGTGTGAAAAATCTGAAATAGAAGTTGAAGACAGTTGCTGTGTAGCCTTAAGGAAATACTTGGCTTTATGCAGTGCTCTTGAAATGTCCCTGGAGACTACCCCTTTTTGTTATTTGCTGTTGTGCTGAAAACACTTCAGCTGAAGTAAAGCTAATGACCACGGGCTGTTTGCAAACCACACAGTAATGAAGGAATTTGTAGCATTTCTGTAAACTATATTGAACTGTTTTCCCATCTTGATAAGAAGAGCTAATAGATGGAATTTCTTTTATCATCAAATACCGATAGGCTTGCAGTCTCTCTTGTTTCCCATTTTCACAGAAACAAGTTGGGAAGTAGTTGGCTTTACTAGAAGCGTGTTCTTCCCAAGTAAACTCGATTAGTCCTACAGGATCCACAAACAAAAGTAAAGGTCAGCTTGTGTTTCTGTCTACTCAGCCCCATTCTGCTGTGTATAATTTGGGGGCCTTTGATTTATCTATTTAGAACCTTACGGGTTTCGCAGTGGACTTTAAATTCAGCCCCAAAACTCAGCTTTGGACTGGTATTCAATATGTGATTTTCCATATTCTGTAGCATCGTAAGCAATGTTGCTCTAGTCCAGGCAGTGGGAGGGTGTCACGTTCTGTCTGTGGAATTTTACTGTCTGTTTTGGAAATTATTTGGATATTTTTTAATGCATTGTCTATTGTGTTACGATTTTTGTACAGATAAGGAACAATAGAGACTCACTGAGGGAGTTGTGTTATCTTGGTAGCTTTCAAAAAACGGTGGAGTAAGTTGAGTGTATATTTTACAATTCTCTTATATGGGTTTTAGCATTGGGGTTTCTGGGAAAGGAGGCATCTGTAGTTGTCTCAACACTGTTACCTGACAAGGATCTGTTCAAGCAGTGTCTCAGCTTTTTCAGGAAATACGGCACAGCTTTCCTCTGAAAAATACTGTCCATTAAATATGTAAAGTTAAGGTCCATACAGCACTTTGATGGCATGGCAAACATATTTCTGTGTTCCCTGTTCATAGATGTTAACAAAATCGCAAACAGTGTGCGAAACATTACTAAATGCTGGAGATCTTTCAGAGGAGTGGGGACTAAGGGAAATCTCAAAAAATTACCTAGTCCATCTTGCTGCAAGATTGGATCAAATCTGCCAAGACTGTAACTAGCAAGTGTTTCTCTAGCTCTTAAAAGCTTCCAACAAAAGGGATCCCATGACCTTGTAAGCAGCATGTACCACTGTTGAACTGTACAACTGGAGAGTTATCACAGCAAGAGTTTATCCCTGCAAGTTAAGTCAATTACTTATTGTTCTTATTGGCAATAGATGTGATGAATAGTGCCTTCATTTGAACATGGCTATCATGTTCTCCTTCTAGTCTTCTCTTTTAAGTAAACCCAGTTAATTGAATCATTCTTCATAGGTCACATCTTCTAAGTCTAGCAATTGTTGGTGCTCTTCTCCGAGTCCTCTCCAGTTTGACTGTGCTCTTAAATCATACGGTCCAAAATGTGACCCAAATTGCTGGCTGAGGCTAGTGCAGAGTAGCTGGAACAATGAACTTCTGGCACTTGCATACATTAGTACTGTTAACACACACTGGAATGATATTTGCCTTTTTGCAACAGTGTCACGTTGACTTGCATTCGTTTCCTTCTGCGAACATCCCAGATCCATGTTGGTACCACTGCTAATCTCCATTTTGTGCCTATGTATTTAGTGTCTGCATACTGGCCTCTAATGGATCTCAGACCAAATTTATCAAGACGTCAGCATTCTAGACCTGTCTCCTATGCTGTTTATGGTTCATCCAAGTATGGTATCATGGGGAAGTCTTGCAGATGTCCTCTTTTACTCTGTAGTCCAAGTTGTTCATGAACACACATCAATGGGATAGATCCCAGGCAAAGCCTTTGCAGGACCCCGCTTGAGTATCTTCCCAGGCTCCCATTAAGCCTTTGGTAATTGCTTTTTGAGAGCGTTTTGTACTGCTGTGATTCTCCTTATGGTCAATATGGACCAGAGCCCCATACTTCACAATGTGAGGACTTCACAGAATGACAATGTCAAAGGCCTTTACAGCAACAGGGAGATTTGGGATCTTGTGTGCCTGTGGCCACCAGGCCAGTTTTCACAAAGAAGGAGATGGATGGTGGTGTGGTGCAGCATACTTTGTTCATGACAAATCCATGTTGGCTGGCTGTTGCTGGGTTACTTTTCCATATGCCTTTACAAATAGGATTTTATAAAAATTACTCTACCCTTTTTCCAGGTTTAGGTTGACTGACAGAGTCCCCTTCTTTTTAAATTCCTTGTGCTTGTCCCACTGCTCTCCTGGACTCTTTTCTGTGCTCTGAGTTCTCAAAGAGCAACACTCTTGGTCCACACTGACGTGGCTGATTGCTGGAGCATCCTGGGGTAAGAGTAATTGGCTAATACCATCTAAGTCCTCTAAATACTTCAACTCACTCTTTCAACTTCTTAACATGCTTTGTTTAGTTAACTTTTGACTGAAGTCAGAAGTGCTGTTTATTACTTATTTGTAAATCTTATCTTCATTTTCTTTCCTTCCTCATCAAGTAATGTACCTATACTTAACCTTATCTTTCCCTAGATATTTATATGCTTTTTATCTGCCTTTTAGAATCTCAGCTTTTTTTTTTTTTTTTTTTTGACTCTCCTAATGAAGGTGTTACTTTGTTGACTTTTGAGCCATCTAAAACCCAGTCACCTGTATCTCAGGCTCGGCACTAACTCTTAAATTTACAACACACTGCACAACTACTGAGGCCAACTCTTTGAAAATCCTTTTTAGGTTTTTTGTTGGGGTTTTTTTTTTTCACAGTTTGCCCACTGTGAAGCTATCAGAAGCTGTATATACTCCATTCTGATCAGTTCATGGTCCCAAATGTGCCAGAGCTGCAGACTTTCTCATTAAAGTTTGAGCTCTGCTAAGTATTTACTTACCCACACATTGGCACTGAGAAAGACACTATAGACTGGGCTGGCCTGATAAATCTCCTGAACGTGCAATAGCTGTTATGCCGTATATAAAACTGTATAGCACTAATTAGAGTAAATGCTTGAGTGACTTTTCACCAGACATGATTCTGACCATTTCTTCCTCTGGTTTTCAAGACTGTCCCTAAACTTTAATCATTGCTGTCCTTTTCCATATGAGTGCCATTGCCATCCAACCCCTCACAAGAGTATGTCATGTCTGTCTTCTTTACCTTTTGGTTAACAATAACAGGGTAATATCCAAGCCGCCTTTGTGTCTTATACAGTGCTTTGCAAAATGAAAGTATGCCTGGAAAACAAATGCATGTTATTTGCACAGCATACTCTCAGGCCAACAGGACGGGCCTTAATTTTTAGCTTCTTAATCCTGATGTGCCTTCAAGTTCCAGTAGCCATTAGCTGCTGATAGTTTTAACTCTCTTTTGGTATAAGTGTTTTCTTTAGCTGTAAATGGTCACTGCATAATTTGCAATAAAATTGTTGCTTTATTTTGAATTATTTGTGGATCTTTTGAAGGGTGAAAACTGAGTATTTATTTCCATCCAAAATAATAATTGAAGAATGATGTCTTCTGAAAAAAAAAAAAAAAAAGTCTAAAATGTTTGTATATGTCCTGCTGGTATTCAGAATTATTCTTATGGTCATTACTCACTTTCTGTTACAGTAATGCTTAATGCAGTGGCACTTTCTGTTGTTGATGGATATACAATTAAGGTTTCATATCACAGCGGGCTGTGTGCAGTATGGGAACTGATCATAATAGTCTCTGTGCAGTGGAGCTCCTTTTTCTCTCCACACAGAAACAGAGGGAAAAATAATTTACATTTGTCACTAGATTTCACTTGCTGTATTTTGCATTTAGAAAGTAAATTTAGATTGTAGGTGATTTTCTAAGAAATTGCTTAACCCTTAGATACATTTTCCAAAGGGCGCCTACCGTTGCTATTAGCTCTCACCAGATTAATGCTAGAAGAGAATATTTTTCTTAATGAGGTCTAAGAAATACTA